TAATTAGTACTGCCCGGCTAAATCAATCATACACGCCTCAACTTACCTTTAGTAACGCGAACTTTGGACCGGTGAAGTGACTGACTCGCCGTTTTCCGGCCCAACAATACATGATTAATAAACAACTAAGTTTGTAAAAGTTTGTTAGTTTTGCATAACATAACAATGAATTAGAAAAATATGTTACAATATAAATATTTAATGTATCCAGAAAAGACAAACAGATATGAGTTAATAAATAAAACATTATTTTTTATAAAACTGGTTGTTTGTGCTAGTGCAATTATAATTAATAAACTTATCTTATTTATCTCTAGTCATTCTAAAGAATCTAGAAACTCCACAGTTTAGCAATAAAGAATTAGAAGAGAAGCTTGACCTAAAAGAATAAAAGATTAAGATAATTATCATCACAAATACCTTTGGTAATACCAGTGATAGAGATCCACTCATTCAATATAGCAACAGACTTGTTGTTGAGAATAACAATATTAATAAAATTTGTATTTATTGCACTTAGCATTTTAAAAAATAATATCAAAACTAAGCTATTAGATAATTATTTTTTTCTTACATAATTTTTGAATAAACTTTCGGTATCAAGATTTTTTTTGTAACATTCTAGTAAAATGCTGGTTATATAATATGAATTGTAACTGTATGATTAAGAATATTTCTAATGGTACCATTTTAGTATTGAATTTAAATTAAGTTTAAAGAGTAGGTTATAGCCCATGTATTTAATTTATTATAGGTTAGTACCATTATGGTACCATTTTGGTATCCGTTTGGAATACTAATTGCTGATTAGATCACAGTTTCTTGGTTTTTTATTGTAATTATATATTCAGTTAAGCCAGATTTTACAATAAGATCAAAAGAATCATATTTAGCGCAGATGTGTAAATTAATATAATTAATATATATGTTTTTATATTTATTATGAGTTAGGTTTTCAATTTATTTTTTACTTTTTTTATGCAGAAAGTTTTTGTAAGATATTCTGTATCAGAATTTTAATTTAAAAACTTGTATAACAATTTTATTTTTTCATTGCTTTTAAATAAATTTTATAAATTTAAGAATAGTAAAAAAATCATTTTATTGTACTGTACCATATAACATAGCAATAAGACAATTAATGTGGTAACATTGTTATGGAAGAAAGTTGGTACAATGAATTATAAACACTTGAAAAGCACATGAACAAGTTATAGAACGTATATTGTATCTTTTGAATCTTTAGGAATAAGAAAGTCTTTGTGTAATAAATAATAAAGATTTCATCAATTCGATCAAAAATCGTGCTTCTAATCAATTATCTAAAATATTGCACCAAATTGCCGTTAACAATGTTGTATTCGTTTCTTTATTATTTTATATGAACAATCAATAATTGGTTATCTAATAAAAATCCATGTTTAAAAATTAAAGCAAACCATAAACTGAAAAGAAAATAAGAAAATGTAGTATAACAAACTTCTTCCGACCATCTAGTGAAAAATTTTTTATACCTAATGTTATCATATTTATGCATTGATATTCCTATAATAATTGGTAATCCCTTTAAGGGACATAGGAATGACTTGGACTGATTACCTATTTAATTTTGTAGTATTCGCGCTGCTATCTTTATTAAAAGAATAATTAAGAAAGTATTATATGTTCACGAATATTTATTCTACATTAATATAATGACATACCTGTTATTGACTTAATTTCTGTTAACATAGGAGTTAATAATCTGCTAGTATAAACGGATTCTGGATGTTCATTTTTGACATCTCTCGCCGTACGAATTATTTTCATTCGTTCATTTTCAGATTCTTCAAATATTGGTTTATAACGATCACGAATGTTTGAGGGAGAACCTTTAGGATCAACGAATTTACACACATTGTTATACAGTGCATTAGCTGTTGGTCGCATGGACGGATTCTCGTGCCAACATTGTTGCATTAAAGTTGACCAGAATTCAGGGGTGTCCTTAGTAATTTCGGGACGTACTCCATTTAAGATATCAACTATGAGATGTATAACATGTGCTCGATCATCAAATGGTCGGTGCCCAGATGTCATTTGATGCATGATCATTCCAAGGCTATATATGTCAGAGGCGTAAGAAAATGGCTCTCCTTGAAAAATTTCTGGGGCAGTGTATGCTATGACACCATATAATTTATCTGGATCTGATATTGCATATGATTTTTTTGCAGAAAAACTAACTCCAAAGTCGGTGATGATTGGAAGTTTTTTATCATTCCTATATAATATATTACCGCTATGCAAATCGCGATGAATAATCTTTTTATCGTGAATTATTTTAATTCCCTCGATAATTTTTAACAGATACCAAGCCTTGGTCATCCAAGTAATATTTTCAAAATTTTTGCTTAAAAACCTGTGAAAATCGCCGTTTTTACAACGCTCCATGACTAAGATTAAATTTCCAGATGATGGATCTCGAGAAACACCAAAACAGAGAACTATTGGACAACATCTATCTGGTCTATCTCGGTGCTTTTTAAAGCTTATATTTGTGTTTTGTAACTAACAATAAAAAAATATTAAGCTATATTAATTTTTTTTTTTTAATTCAATGATAGAAATGAGATGTTACCTCGTTTAAAAAATCAATGTCAACCATACTTGAATCATTAAAAATCTTCAGTGCAACTGTTTGTTTATGCACTTTTTCTTTTTTTCCTTTATGCTTGCTATAGACAGTTTCTCTCCTATTCCTCGATGCTTTGAATATTTTACCAAACCCGCCTTGACCTATTTGTTCTATAATTTTGAGGTCGTCAAAAGATATCCACGCAAGTTGCTTTTCTCGTATATTTGTGTGTGTTTTTTTAATATATTTATCAACTTCTTTATTACCGCTATCAACCTGCTGAAATTTGTTGCTAAAGCAATATTTACAAGGTTGAAGAGATGTTTTACTAATAAAGTAATGACGACATTCTGGGCATTTAACTTTTGAACGAACTTCGGAGTATCCAACTTCAGATAGTAGTAATTCTGATAACTCATCTTCAGATAATATTTCTGATAACTCAAATTCAAAGGAATCGTTATCATAATCTGAGTCCATAATTTAAGTGAGGTGGAAAGTTCTTTTTACACTTTTGAGACAATTATATATATGTTCACGAAATTGAAAATAAGAAATAATGAAAATAATGAAAATAAAAGATCATGATCAACTATCATGCCGATAAAAAAAGCGCCTTACCATACTCATATCTAAACCTTTTTAGTAAATAATCAAATACTAATACTGATCTGATTACCATGACATACATACAGTATATAATTTGGTATTTTCAGCCGACACATTAAATGGGACAATACAATAGAATTAACTTTGATAAATATCCATTCAACAACAATTAGTTGATTGTATTTGTATTAACTACTTATAACTTAATTTATTGTTGTAATGTACCCTAGTGCAGCAATAGTAACTAGAGAAATCCCGTTACACAGCTATTTCGGCTGCAGAGGATAATGTTCTTTATGCATTACTCGTGCGGTACTCTTACGACGCTTTTGCGTCACTTGTGCAGGTATGCTTACAATGATTTCGAGTGAAATTTCTGTACTATGGTAATTTATATCGTCTAAATAGATTTCCGGATTTATTTCGGTATATAAAAATCCGAAAGTCGAAAACAAAATCGAAAATAAATTATTAAAAATAAAACAGAAAAAGACTACAATATTTATTTTTGTTTGTTAAATTATAAATTTAATATCCGAAGAATATTTAAATAATTTCTTAATCATTTCTTTAAGTTCATTTTTTTAAAAGTCAACTAAGTTGATCTATTTAAATTAACATTATCAACAAAATAATTAGTTTTTTATTAAAAACTTTTCTTAATAAAATGAATTCTCAGCATTTATTATTTTTCTAATATTTTGTTAACGCATAATTATATAATAACTAAAACTACACTACGTTGCACTATATTAAAGCAAAGGATAGACAATGATTTTATCTGGCTTTGGTAAATGTGCCCACCTGCTTGTCCTCGAGAGATTAACTAAGAATTACTTGTTGATCTGGCCTGACTGGAGCTTATTCATTGGTCCTAATATTATTTTCTTATTTTGTATGTTTCAATTCTCTATATTCTGTAAATTATGTTGTAGACTAAGATGTAAGGAATCTGGATAAAAGTAAAGATTCAAATACAGTGAATACGTGATGTTTATATTATCGTTACTCGAGGTTAATATACTGTATGAAATTTGTTTTGATATAAATATACAACCAATGAGTCTTCTTAGTGTAATGTACGTAATTACAAAATTATTATCCTTCATTAATACTCTTTATGGTGCAAGATCATGTCTTTTATATTAAGCCATAGTTTCTGTAATTGTATTTTTTTTAAAAAAATTTTTTAATTAGGCTAGAAATGTATAATGCATATGCTATTCTTTTGCACATCGTATACTTTCTATTTTTTTATGACAATAATCGAATAAACCTATCTATATATTTTTTTACATTAATATCATTGAGAACAAAACCGTGACTATTGTGTTTTCTTAATTTATTATCCATTTATCACATATTTTATATCACCCTATGGTTAGTTCCTTCTTAACTCTAAAGTAGTATAATTTAGGGCATATTGATTTACACGGCAATCAATTATAATTTGTCCTTTATGACTCATGCTAAAATATGTAAAATAAAATTTAGTGAAATATTATTTGCTGAGAATAATTGCTTAATATTGTTAATTGTATTAATTAATCTTGAATTTATTCCTGTTATCAATAATATCGTTGGAAATATAATGGCCATTATGATTGTGATATCACATTGCAATACCGTATTATTGTTTACAAAATATATGTTTACATGTAAAAATTATTAACAATATGTATATCGAAATTTTAAAATGTACAATATAGAAAATTTAATATCCATTAAATTACTATTATTTTAAATAACATATAAATTATTGTTTTCCTTAACCCAGTGAATAAGTATTTTTTTTTGATAATAAGTTATTAAGACCTTTAATAAAAGTAAATAAATCACAATTTTTTTAATATAAGAATTTGAACATAATTATTAAAGATAAAAGAAATAAAATTTTAAAATAAATAAAAATCTTATTTTTAAATTCTAGGTTAATAATAAAATATCTAGCATTGCATATTGCTTTATTATATCTGTTTGTAAATAATAAGATTTTTGATTTTTTTAATTGAGTGATTTACACTTTGTTTATTAGGTATTTTTTGATAAAAAGTAAATTGTTATTCTAACTAATCCAATTGTATTTGGAGTATTTCATAGTTGTATTGATTTCTAAAATAGATAATTTGTTTATATGCTTCTTTTTTTAGTTATTTTCTATATTTTTTGTCTTTTTTATTATATCGTGTTTTTCTTCCAGTTTGCAAAGCTATCACATCTGTAATTTCATTTTTCTTGAAATTTGTTAAAAAATCTGTTGAAATATTTTCTATTTTATCTTTTTGATATTTCATTGATAAATGTTTGTTGGTAATTTCTATTAATTCAATTGTAAAAATTTTCTTATTATATAATTGTTGACTTTTTTAATTTTATTTTTAAATTAATTGTTAATATTATTTTTTAGTGCATATTTAATTTGTTTGTTTGTTTTACTATTGACTTTTTTATTAATTAGTTGTTTGTTTTACTATTGACTTTTTTATTAATTAGTTGTTAAGATGTTTTATAAATATTTATTCTGTTACTTTTATATATTATACAGTATAGATTCATTTTCATTTGTTAAAAATTTATATATTGATTGTTAATATATATATTTGCTGCTCTTTTATAAAGTTTGTTTTGATTGAAAGTTCAATGTTTCAGAATTTATATATAAAGAATCTGAATATGATTTTTTCAGTTGATTATTTTTGTTATAGGTTTTAATAGGATATATATAAAAGTAAGACTACTAATATAATATTGTACAATATAAAAAAATCTGTTGTAAAAAGATTATAGTTTAATATTTTCAGTTATAAATATGTTTGATCAAATAAGATTCTTAATTGTAATTGTAATTGTGTTATTTAGAATTTGTTTATTTTACCTTTATATCTATTGTACTTTCCAGTTTTTAATTAATAAACAGGTGATTTTTATAAATTTTTTTATGATAATTGTTTTTTTGTCAAGTAATTTGCTCTATCACTATATTTGTTATTGCTATATATTTTGACTATTTTGACTTTTTTTTATATTATGCTAAGTTTCTATTGTTTTATAATATAAATTATAAAATTAATTATGTTATTTGTTTCTAATATACTTAAGCTGGCTGTGTTCTCTTATACTTTATTAATTATATTTATAATTGCTTTTTTATTATAACTAATTATTATTTTATTATTGGCTAGTACTGTTATAAAAAATATAAAAACTACTACAATTCTACTCTAGTATATAATAGAAACTTACTTATTTTTTAAAAAAACTAATTTCTAAATCTTATAGAATATGCTATTTAAATTTCATTATCTGGTTTGTATCTAAAAATTCATTTGTATAAACTATAATTAATTAAGCTTATCAATTTTGTAACATACTGTTTCTAGTTATTTTATAATTGAATATGTTGTTTTTAAGTATTTGCTAATTATTGTTTAGTTGATAACTTTCTGTTTATTAAAGTTAAATAATAATAGTAGCAGATATAAATATAAAAAGTTGTTTTTAAATAAAATAGTAAGATTATTAAATTAAATTCTACTTTATTAGTAGTCTTTTAAAAAAAGTATTTCAAAAACTATATTGCTTTTGTGAACTGAAATATATATTAAGTTTAGGGTTCTGATCAGTACCATTCGGTATGATATTTTATAAAACCAATACTGAAAATTTTTTCAGTATCGATATTGGTAATTACTAAAAAATTTTGATATGAAACTTTGTAATATTGATATTGAACTGAAAATATCAAAATCAAATATTAAACTAATCTAATAATATAATACAGTAACTAGAATTTTAATTAGTACTATTTAATATAATATTTAATACAAACTTTTAAAAATTTGTTATATATTGTTTCACTTGATTTTTGCCCAAGATTTTTATCAACTCTTGTCTAATTTTCACTAATATTTATTATTAAAATATAGAATAATTCTTGTATTACTACTTTTATTATTGGTTAACATTGTGCTTTTATACTATTGTTGTTCTAGAATATTTTTTATTTTACTTATTGTCATATTTCATTTCTATCTCAGGAGAAAGATAAAGATGGAGAACTAGTAGCAGGGAGGCACTTTAGATGGACAGGACCAATGTGATATGCTAAAGTTCCTAGAGGCGTACAAATTAGTACAGTTCTGAGGTGTATGAGGTCAGGCGAAAGAGG